GGTGGGAACTGCGTGCCCCTGGGGAAAGGGGGGTAGAGGGTTGGTCCTATATTGGGGCCGAGGGAGAGTGGGTGACTCACCTCGGCGGAGGCAGTGTAGTGCTGAGGGGGGAGGGGTAGGGGGAGGGAGGGGCGATCTTTCTTGAATAAGTCTATCATCTAGACTAAGTTTACTATTTCTTTTCATTTGGTTTGCCGCTCGAGGAGGTTGTAGGAATAGGTGCTATCGTGATCATGCGAAGCGTGGTTGAAAATTCGGTGGCCCTCGAAGACCGATGCTGGAGCAACGCTGGCCGGAGCCGGAGCCAGGTGGCGCAGCTCTGTGACCTAGCTTAGTGGGGGCGTGAGGCCTGGTAGAGAGTTCTGGGGGGCTGTGTGCGGGGGCAGTCTCAGTGGTCATCAGGGGTCGTAACTGGAGCAATGTTGGCCGGTGCTGGAGCAAGGTGGTGCAACTCTGTAACCTAACCTGATGGGAGCATGAGGCCTGGAAGAGCTTCGGTCAGTGCTGAAAACAGTCATGCTGGTGGTGGTCGTAGGTGGATTGAATAGGTTTCACCTATCTGATTTGTCGGTGTTCTAATGAATGTCTTAGGACTCTAGGGACTCTTAGCAACCCATCCTAGGCGGTTTTGAAGCGGTTATACTCAGTGATCTGCTGCTGTTCGATGCCAGAACGACGCTGGCCGGTGCTGGTGTGTTGCCCTGTAACCTGCTGATGCAGGAGCGTGAGGCCTGGTAGAGAGATCTGGGGATGCTTTGGGGTGGGCATCCCAAGGGACAGCCAAGGTTTGCTGCTGGGACRACGCTGGTCGGAGCTGGGGCGAGTTGTGTTGCCCTGTAACCYAGCAGGGTGGGGGCGTGAGGCCTGGAAGAGCTCAGCAGGGAGTAAGACTGTGTTGGAAAGTCTTAGAAGGACTCGTTAGGAATCCTGAGGGTTGTGAGCATTCGTAGGACCTCTGTGGCAGCCTACTGCATGAGTAGTTCTTTAATAGGTCATTAGATATTCACAGACTGATCTCAGCCGAAACCGGGTAATGGCCCCGGTATCTCAAATGATCTCAAATGTTCTCAAATGCCCTTAATGATCTGTACAATTTGATATGGGACGCTAGGTAATAAGGTACAACAGCAGCAGAGATGGTGGCTCTGCTGCAGTAAGACTTGCCGGAGTGGGGATAGGGGATGGACTGGGGATGTCTGAGCTTTTTCCTGAATCGTGCACATGTCTTGTTTTTTCTTTTAAAGAGGTGAGGGGGACAAGTAGATGGTTGGATAACAAGCGTCCTACTAGTAAAGGGGCTAGCTCGTAGGACGGAAATAGGGCACAGCAGTAGCGGAGATGGTGGCTCTGCTGCAGTAAGTCTTGCCAGAGTGTGGTAAAGAGGATTGATGGGGGGGTTTAAGTCGGTTTTCTGAATTTCTCTGAAGTCTGACGTAGTAACTTGTTAAGTAACTCAATTTTTTCTTAGCCAAAGCCGGGTAATGGCCCCGGTATCTCAATTTTCATGTTGTATATTCTCAGTTGTATTTCAACGGGACACTGAGCCCGGTTCTCAGCACGTGATGCTCCCCACGAATAGATTAGAGCTTTTGTCCCAAAAAAGAAAAAAGAAAAAAAAAAAGAAGATATGGGACGCTGGGCCCGGTTCCCAGCACGTGCTGCTCCCCACAAATAGATTGGAGCATTTGTTAAAAAAAAAGAGAAAAAAAAAAAGAAAAAAAAGAAAGAAAGAACACAAACCTCGTCTGACGCTTCCAAAATACTGCACATCCAGGTACCACATTCTCAAATTGGTCAGTCAGTCTGCTCAGTAACCCAGTCCAGTTCCAAGGTCCACGATGCTGGCTCCGGTACCCACTCGAAAGACCATGTGTTCGAGGCCAAGGGCCAATTGAAACTAACAATCTTCTCCTGAAGTGTCCAAGTACCGGAAAACGACATTGGGCTACCACAGGTACCAGGCCTCGAAGCCCAATCGTTCAGAAAACAAACAATCGCAAATCAGCCCTCGTTGTGGTTCCATCGGTTTGTTGTTTAAGCTTTCTAGGAATATCAAAGAATTTGTTGAGCTTCCTTGACAGATGGATGGCAAGTTTGTGCCCTTGGGCTTGTTGCACAGAGACCAGAGAGAGACCAGAGAGACCCGAGAGCGACCCGAGAGACCTGAGAGAGTCCCGAGAGAGACCCAAGAGAGACCCGAGAGACCCGAGAGAGACCCGAGAGAGAGGAACTAAAAGCTTAAAACAAATGAAGGGGTGAGCGTATGTACTTCAGAAGTGCCCTTGGCTTGTTGTAGGGAGAACTGAGAGCGATAAACTTGTTGTTGAACTTCTAAAAGTAATGAAGAGGAGGAGGCTGGATGACGTCCGAGATCTCAGCCCAGACTTTCTTTACCATCCACGAGGCTACCTTCTTCCCCCGAATACAACGGAAGGTCATTATAGCTGTATTTAGACTGAACGATACCCCAAATACAGCTATAATGACCGTACGTAACATTCAGGGAAAGAAGGACCTGGTAGGGAGATCTCAAGAAGCCTGTTGGAAACAGACATCAGAGCACAATGGAATAAGATGGAGAGAACGATCGCCCATAACCCAGCTGACGCTCAGGTGCTCATCAAAACGTTGACTCGAACACTTGTGGGACAGGGCAAGGTGGCAACTATAGAGGCCCCCCGATTGCTATACAAATGGGGTCACTCCTCAAACAACTCACGAGATCAGGGTGGAGATATAGCAGTGGCCAGGAACAGGAACCATGCATAGGAAGGCCCCTAAGGGAGCCAGAGGCAAGGAAGAGAGGAATAGAACATGAGAGGGGCATATCGAGCTGAAGCACCAGTCAGGGAACAGAAGAGAGATAGAGTTTAAGGTTTAGGGTTTAGATGTTCTGACACGACCCTTAAGCTGTACGGGTTCTCTCACTGGTGTAACTTTCCCTGAATTCATCCCAGCTTCCCTTTTCAATAGGCTTTATTAGTCATGTTGGTGGTTGTTGGTTGCAGATTAATGGGATGCTGGAGAGAGAGAGAGAGAGAGAGAGAGAGAGAGAGAGAGAGAGAGAGAGAGAGAGAGAGAGAGAGAGAGAGAGAGAGAGAGAGAGAGAGGGGGGTAAGGCAGCTTCACGAATGCCGACACCTGGCTTTTCTGTTCCTCACCGATTTAATAAACCATCGCACGGGCGCTGACTGTCCGTTGTTGCACACCAGTCGATCACCACGCCGATCGTCACTCTGCCTATCCGATCACAGCGTGAGTTTGTCCAACGCCTGCAGTCCGTCGCAATTAGCCCATCAAGGCTGTTTGATCCTCCAAAACCACCAAACGTACTCCAGCCACTCAATCCAAGCTGGCTTCAAACGTAAAAGAGAGAGAGATACTCGTGAGATTTATAGCTGTTTGTGGGAGCAAGCTTGCATGCATGAGGGGAAGGGGCTAAGGGGAAGAAAGAGAGGGAAAGGGGAAAAGAAGGGGGCGTGGCAAGGAGGCAGTACACGATTGAATCGCATTGTGGGGTACGTAGCCGCTCTCTGCACCACAGTCCAATCTATACAGTCATCCTGGCATCCCAAGAACTTTGGATGAAGGCGGGAAGAAGGATCACGCAAGATGCAGGGGGAATGATGGCGCGAAGGGAAACAAAGATCAGCTAGAGGAGAGAGAGTCGAGGAAAGGGAGGAAGACAGAGTTGTCAGGAGAAGACACGAGAAAAGGAAATCAGACGTGGAAGGTTTTGCACACCAGTAGGAGAAATTGCACAGTGCAAGCAGCTGATGATCGCAAGAAAACAGGAGAACAAAAAGGCGATGAAAGTCGTCTGGCAGACCGTCGGCTAAGGAACGTGTCTAAATTCGATGAATGCCCATGCAAAGTTCAAAACAAATTCAAAAGCCGATTCGGGTGCGTTCGCTGAGACACACAAAACCAAAAGTGCGAAGAAGCCAAACTCCCATGATGAAGTATTCCCTTTTGCACCTCTTTGATCACTTTTTTATACTCTGTTGTTTTGGATACGATTTGAGAATTCTACAGCTAAATTCCATTTTGTTGAAACAATACGATGGCTTCCTCACTCAAATATCAATTTTTATATAGGTCTAGACTCTAGATGGGATTTCTTTCTTCTTTGTGGTATTGACTACGTTCTTAATACCTGCAAATCTGGGAAATTTTCAAGGACTTACCGGCAACAAAAAGACAAGTATGGTACAACCCCATTGCAAAAAGTCAAGGAAATGGAGATGGGAGCTTATGTTATTGTATAGATTTTATTTGAATCAAGAATGCAAAAACTGGGGTGGGCCATCCGGAACTGGTAAGAAGGAGGTGCTGTTCGACGAGTCTTTAGCAGAATTGATTTTTTAAATCTATTCTAATTTCTAATTACAATGTTTTTGGAGTCCGGAAGGAAGGTAATAGGTTCAAATGAGAAAGGGCTTGCTTTGGATACCTGGGTGCTTGGCTGTGACGATCTGGTCGCGGGAATCTGCCATGTATTCCACACTGTTTTTTTCAATCCATTGTCGCTTTGACATTTGATCGCTGCTCTTATCCTGAGTTGGATGGCGCGATGAGCTATTTCGTCCCACTTTGCCGCGTTGTCAGTGAAGTCAATCTTTCGTTTTCATTGTGAGATGTGCCGGAAGGCAGACGAAACGATGGTTTGCGCTCGGGAGGGATTTGTTGGACCTGTTTAGCACTGGCATGTTGCAACCGTAAGTGCACCTGAGGTAAATTGCGTTTCTCTTTGCCTTCAAAAAAAAAAAAAAAAAAAAAGAGTCGAATTATGACAAGGGCTTCCATTGTGGATAGCCCCAACAGGACTCATCCTCAGTGCTCATCTGCTACCGTCTTCCCCGGAACATAACACACCCTCCTGATAATGAATGTACACATTGCTACGCAAGGCGTCGCAAGGTATATTTCCAGTAAGGTACAGCCAAAATGAGGGTGGCTTGTATTCGGGGGTAGACGGTAGTCTGCCCTTTTTTTTTTTTTTTTTTTTTTTGTTTACGGTAGTCTGTCTCTTGTTAGCTCGTAGCTATGTAACTTGTCTTCCCCTTCTGGATCTTCTGGCTACTTCCTTCTTTTTCCCTTTTGTAATAAAAGGGAAACGGCATTTAGATATCATCATTGAATTGACCAGCCCCAGGCAATTCAGAATGATTTTATTCTCTTCATCTGAGGGCATCTGGATTCGAACTTGAGTGTGATTCATATTTCAACAGTTCAGGAGGGGTGTACCAACTGAGCTAGGCCCGTTGGTGCTACTTCTTTTTGCATGAGGGTGTTGTTTGGAGGCCAGCAGCACAACTGAAGTCTGTATGCCATAACTGGTGGGTCGGATGCAGGACGGAAACTGAGCTGAAATGGATGGCTATTGAACAGTCAACCTATGGATCTGCAGGAGGCTTAGATGTTGCTGCCCCGTTGCTCTCTCAGATAGGTAGAGCCTTGGGTGAAATGGGCATCACCGTTGATCTGGTAAGGATATTGTCATATTCGCTATGCATAACTCGATAAAGAAAAGTACGACTGTGCCAGACTGTTTCGTGGGACTTTCACCTACTCGTGTGTGTGTGTGTGTTGTTATAGTACCCCAAATTCTCTCTCTCATCTCCTCCACAAATCATAACAAAGCATCCATCCATAATAGAAAATGCAAGGTTGGCCACGTTTGTGTGGTTCAGCGCCAAAGTGCCCACACACCCATCTGCCACCGAAGCGGCATACTTGTGTGTGTGTGTGTGTGTGTGTGTGTGTGTGTGTGTGTGTGTGTGTGTGTGTGTGTGTGTGTGTGTGCATTCACCATATTGTCACCACGACAACCCCTTTTCCAGCCAAGATGAGCAGATTCAAATTTGAACAGAGAATGCATGGTCTTTCGCGGTGAACGTTCTTCCTTTATTTTGGCCTGCAATCCACATGCCATTTGTTGGGGGTGTATGGTGCACTGAGAATGCTCAGCTAGGTCTTCCATGTGTTCATCCACCTCATCCTTACAATGTATGTCCTGTCTGTCGTCAAGGACAGACTCATTCTTGAGCCTTTTCTGATCCTCTCCTTTGCCTTCATCTTCATTCCACACTCTGTACTTTCCCTTACGATAGACGCTGCAAACTTCTGTAGAGTTGCAATGATAATGGAGGCACAGTACACGCCTGTAAAATTCGTGTGTGCAGCTCAAAGGAACAATCACCGGGCTACAATGATAAAGTTATGGACAGTGTACGAGCCCATTAACCAGCCTGGGGAGGCTCACCTGGATTCTGGTGTATGGGTGGATGCTGACAACTGCGGAGGGTCTTGGATTCTACGTGGCTGCTCCGGCCTGCGAAGGGAATCTCATGGATGTCGCATGTTGACGAGTAAGTCCTTGCTGCAACTGTGCTGGGGTGGGTCGAATGCCACGACCGGTATGGCTTCAGTTTTGAACACCGGGTCACCGTTGCAGTGGTTAAGGCATCTGACTGCTATAGCCGAGGTCACCGGTTCAATTCCGTCTGGCTGCAGAACGATCCCTGGGCTACAATGATAAACTTACTGAGAAAGGTTGTGCCACACTGGTGCAAAGGACATGATGCATGTGCACCATACTTGCAAGCAGACGGACCAGACGAGTGTCCGGTCCGGTCCGCTTTGCCGCGTGCGGCACCCTCCCCCCGGACCAGACGGACCCGGACCGGATCGGACAGGGCCATTTTTTTATTTTTTGGGGTGGGGCGTAACTGGTCGTCGGGCGCACATTTGTGCGCTGCGCGGGTCCGGTCCGGCGGTCTGCCGCACGTGCGGAACCGCCCGGACGGCGTCCGCTTGCAAGTATGATGTGCACGAGTACGTTCCAAATAAAAGGTTCGAGAAACGGCCTCATCACTTAGTGCTAGTGCTCTCTCTCTCTCTCTCTCTCTCTCTCTCTCTCTCTCTCTCTCTCTCTCTCTCTCTCTCT